TTCTTTGCGATGAGGGGGACTCTGCCCCCCCCCCCTTCAAACCCCCCAAACAGAAGGGGGCACATCCCCCTTCTGGCAACCCAATGATGCAATATTGGGATGGGGGACGGCGCCGAAAAAGTGGTCACTTTTTTTAACAACATTTCTCAAACGAAAAACAGTGTTTGGGGCCTAAATAGGGCATTTTTTCACTGTTTGAGGCCTCAAAAAGGGGGAGGGCAAAAAGCCGTCGAAACACGCTTATATAAGGGAAAAGGTTAACAAAAAATGATGAAAAACCTTGGAATTACACAAAACTTGATTTTCCATGTAAACACATGCCCTAACACCGAAATATGGTGAAAAATTGTTGTTTTTTTGACATTTTTTATTTTTATAATAAACCTTTTACCCCATGAGCATATTGCGAAAAATGGCCGTTTTCATTGAAAAGCCTCCTGTAACAAGTTCAAACTGCTATGAAACTATGAAAAATGCTTTAATACTAATGAAACTTGGCACAAATGTTGACTACACCATAGCCTCTGTAACAGCATGCTCAATGGTAAATTTCCTGTTACCATGGCAAAATTGCCAAAAATCACTATTTTGCATTGTTTTTTCCATCAAAACTGATTTCAAAGTGCTGCAACTTCTCAATGAATTGAGATAGAGTAAAAGGCTTTTCAGCGTCGGTTACTAGTTACCCTAAGATCGACCTGAGGCCATTTTTTTAGCCTGTCACATGTCCAAAATTTTCTTGATGATGAGGGGGACTCCGCCCCCTTCAAATCCCCCAAACAGAAGGGGGCACATCCCCCATCTGGCAACCCCCTGATGCAATATTTGGATGGGGGACGGCGCCGAAAAAGTGGTCACTTATTTTAACAACATTTCTCAAACGAAAAACAGTGTTTGAGGCCTAAATAGGGCATTTTTTTCACTGTTTGAGGCCTCAAAAAGGGGGGGTGCAAAAAGCCGTCGAAACACGCTTATATAAGGGAAAAGGTTAACAAAAAATGATGAAAAACCTTGGAATTACACAAAAACTAGATTTTCCATGTAAACACATGCCCTAACACAGAAATTTGGTGAAAAAATTGTTGTTTTTTGACATGTTTTATTTTTATAATAAACCTTTTACCCCATGAGCATATTGCGAAAAATGGCCGTTTTCATTGAAAAGCCTCCTGTAACAAGTTCAAACTGCTATGAAACTATGAAAAATGCTTTAATACTAATGAAACTTGGCACAAATGTTGACTACACCATAGCCTCTGTAACAGCATGCTCAATGGTAAATTTCCTGTTACCATGGCAAAATTGCCAAAAATCACTATTTTGCATTGTTTTTTTCCATCAAAACTGATTTCAAAGGGCTGCAACTTCTCAATGAATTGAGATAGAGTAAAAGGCTTTTCAGCGTCGGTTACTAGTTACCCTAAGATCGACCTGAGGCCATTTTTAGCCTGTCACATGTCCAAAATTTTCTTGGCGATGAGGGGGACTCCGCCCCCCTTCAAATCCCCCAAACAGAAGGGGGCACATCCCCCATCTGGCAACCCCCTGATGCAATATTTGGATGGGTTACGGCGCCGAAAAAGTGGTCACTTTTTTAACAACATTTCTCAAACAAAAAACAGTGTTTGAGGCCTAAATAGGGCATTTTTTCACTGTTTGAGGTCTCAAAAAGGGGGGGGGTAAAAAGCCGTCGAAACACTCTTATATAAGGTAGAAGGTTTACAAAAAATGATGAAAAACCTTGGAATCACACAAAAACTAGATTTTCCATGTAAACACATGCCCTAACACAGAAATTTGGTGAAAAAATTGTTGTTTTTTGACATGTTTTATTTTTATAATAAACCTTTTACCCCATGAGCATATTGCGAAAAATGGCCGTTTTCATTGAAAAGCCTCCTGTAACAAGTTCAAACTGCTATGAAACTATGAAAAATGCTTTAATACTAATGAAACTTGGCACAAATCGTTGACTACACCATAGCCTCTGTAACAGCATGCTCAATGGTAAATTTCCTGTTACCATGGCAAAATTGCCAAAAATCACTATTTTGCATTGTTTTTTCCATCAAAACTTATTTCAATGTGCTGCAACTTCTCAATGAATTGAGATAGAGTAAAAGGCTTTTCAGCGTCGGTTACTAGTTACCCTAAGATCGACCTGAGGCCATTTTTAGCCTGTCACATGTCCAAAATTTTCTTGGCGATGAGGGGGACTCCGCCCCCTTCAAATCCCCCAAACAGAAGGGGGCACATCCCCCATCTGGCAACCCCCTGATGCAATATTTGGATGGGGGACGGCGCCGAAAAAGTGGTCACTTTTTTTAACAACATTTCTCAAACGAAAAACAGTGTTTGAGGCCTAAATAGGGCATTTTTTCACTGTTTGAGGCCTCAAAAAGGGGGGGATGCAAAAAGCCGTCGAAACACGCTTATATAAGGGAAAAGGTTAACAAAAAATGATGAAAAACCTTGGAATTACACAAAAACTAGATTTTCCATGTAAACACATGCCCTAACACAGAAATTTGGTGAAAAAATTGTTGTTTTTTGACATGTTTTATTTTTATAATAAACCTTTTACCCCATGAGCATATTGCGAAAAATGGCCGTTTTCATTGAAAAGCCTCCTGTAACAAGTTCAAACTGCTATGAAACTATGAAAAATGTTTTAATACTAATGAAACTTGGCACAAATGTTGACTACACCATAGCCTCTGTAACAGCATGCTCAATGGTAAATTTCCTGTTACCATGGCAAAATTGCCAAAAATCACTATTTTGCATTGTTTTTTTCCATCAAAACTGATTTCAAAGGGCTGCAACTTCTCAATGAATTGAGATAGAGTAAAAGGCTTTTCAGCGTCGGTTATTAGTTACCCTAAGATCGACCTGAGGCCATTTTTAGCCTGTCACATGTCCAAAATTTTTCTTGGCGATGAGGGGGACTCCGCCCCCTTCAAATCCCCCAAACAGAAGGGGGCACATCCCCCATCTGGCAACCCCCTGATGCAATATTTGGATGGGTTTACGGCGCCGAAAAAGTGGTCACTTTTTTTAACAACATTTCTCAAACGAAAAACAGTGTTTGGGGCCTAAATAGGGCATTTTTTCACTGTTTGAGGTCTCAAAAAGGGGGGGGGGGTAAAAAGCCGTCGAAACACGCTTATATAAGGTAAAAGGTTTACAAAAAATGATGAAAAACCTTGGAATCACACAAAAACTAGATTTTTACATGTAAACACATGCCCTAACACCGAAATTTGGTGAAAAATTGTTGTTTTTTGACATTTTTTATTTTTATAATTAACCTTTTACCCCATGAGCATATTGCGAAAAATGGCCGTTTTCATTGAAAAGCCTCCTGTAACAAGTTCAAACTGCTATGAAACTATGAAAAAATGTTTTAATACTAATGAACTTGGCACAAATGTTGACTACACCATAGCCTCTGTAACAGCATGCTCAATGGTAAATTTCCTGTTACCATGGCAAATTGCCAAAAAATCACTATTTTGCATTGTTTTTTTTTTTCATCAAAACTGATTTCAAAGTGCTGCAACTTCTCAATCAATTGAGATAGAGTAAAAGGCTTTTCAGCGTCGGTTACTAGTTACCCTAAGATCGACCTGAGGCCATTTTTAGCCTGTCACATGTCCAAAATTTTCTTGGCGATGAGGGGGACTACCGCCCCTCTTCAAACCCCCCAAACAGAAGGGGGCACATCCCCCTTCTGGCAACCCCCTGATGCAATATTTGGATGGGGGACGGCGCCGAAAAAGTGGTCACTATTTTTAACAACATTTCTCAAACGAAAAACAGTGTTTGAGGCCTAAATAGGGCATTTTTTCACTGTTTGAGGTCTCAAAAAGGGGGGGGGGGTAAAAAGCCGTCGAAACACGCTTATATAAGGTAGAAGGTTTACAAAAAATGATGAAAAACCTTGGAATCACACAAAAACTAGATTTTTACATGTAAACACATGCCCTAACACCGAAATTTGGTGAAAAATTGTTGTTTTTTGACATTTTTTATTTTTATAATTAACCTTTTACCCCATGAGCATATTGCGAAAAATGGCCGTTTTCATTGAAAAGCCTCCTGTAACAAGTTCAAACTGCTATGAAACTATGAAAAATGCTTTAATACTAATGAAACTTGGCACAAATGTTGACTACACCATAGCCTCTGTAACAGCATGCTCAATGGTAAATTTCCTGTTACCATGGCAAAATTGCCAAAAATCACTATTTTGCATTGTTTTTTTTTCATCAAAACTGATTTCAAAGTGCTGCAACTTCTCAATGAATTGAGATAGAGTAAAAGGCTTTTCAGCGTCGGTTACTAGTTACCCTAAGATCGACCTGAGGCCATTTTTAGCCTGTCACATGTCCAAAATTTTCTTGGCGATGAGGGGGACTCCGCCCCCTTCAAACCCCCCAAACAGAAGGGGGCACATCCCCCTTCTGGCAACCCCCTGATGCAATATTTGGATGGGGGACGGCGCCGAAAAAGTGGTCACTTTTTTAAACAACATTTCTCAAACGAAAAACAGTGTTTGAGGCCTAAATAGAGCATTTTTTCACTGTTTCAGGCCTCAAAAAGGGGGGGGGTGCAAAAAGCCGTCGAAACACGCTTATATAAGGGAAAAGGTTAAGACAACACTGGAAATACTACAGCTTTTTACATAGGCAAAGAATGATAGTTTTAAATTTTCTTTAACTGTGCACAAGTTATAAATGAAACAAATTCATGAATCAATTTGGTCTCTATCATCATTGTCCCTTAAACGTTTTATTTCTGAAGCAGTGTGACGTGCAATTTTAAAAGAGTATTAGCCGAAGTTGTGAATTTTGAGCCGAAATTAGGTGATATTTGTACAAGTTAACTATTTGAATAAAACACACGTTCCTATAAATAGATTGAATTAAACTTAAACCGACCGGTGTGTAATCACCTGTATTACTTTCCAATATCTATTTTTATACCCGTGGTGTAAAATGCGTTGATTTATTACTACTGTGGTTTCCATAACGATTTTAATATGGATGGCAAGTCCTCGATTGAAAAAATGGTTTTTGACCTCAGACCATTTATTTGCAAGGTTATCAGGGGACCGAGGGTACTTCAGCACCTTTTATGTTACATTTCACCAGGTACGGGTTTATTTCCTTATAAACTTAATCGAAAAATTTAAGACGGCATTGTTACTTTCGTTTTCGAAACGTATCTTCATTTTTTGGGGTTATTTGTTGTGTTTTTTTTTACTTAAAATATAATGTTTTAACTTTTCCCTAGCTTGAAATTGTTTGATTATTTTTTTGTACTTTTAAATGGCAATTATGCCGTTAAATATGTCCGTCATGTATAAATATTAAAAGCAGAAGGAGTGTAAACACGTAATAAAAACACATATTCTAATAACATTTACTTCCTCGTTGCTGGCGTAAGCTTAGATCAGATCAACTCTACTATTTGTTTCAGAAGTGGGACAGCGAATAAAAAGTAACTTTGACTTAAATAGATAATTAAAATATTCTAAGTAAATCATTTAATTACCACCTCCTAAAACTTCAACTTGCAATCAATTAAAATAAGTTTATTGTTTCCCTTAACAATGCATTAATTGTAAAAAGTAAAATACAATGTAAAATGTAAAATACAATTTGATAATTGCTCCTGCATTTCGAAATGTCCAGAAGTAATTTACAACTCATTATGTAAATATATTGTTTGTCTCTTTCAAAGAAGAATTAAATAAATTTCTTCTGTGGCGAATCTACATCAAACATTTTTTAAATATACAAAATCTTGCTATCACTCTTTTCATGGCAATAGCGATATATTCAAAAAATATTTAATCATTTTCTTTCAATACAATCAAACTTTTTTGAAAGTTACAATTCAATTATTTAAAAATCTGATAAAGTTTGTAAAACAATACATGTATATGTTTTCAATGCTTTAAGTCTAATCTAATTTCAGCGGATGCCAACGACATTAAAAATGCCTACGGAAACATGCTACATGAAAAGGCAACAAATATGTTACTAGACAAACTTATTGAGAGCCAGCAAACTGGTAAATGGCAAGCATTTGTTCATGCAATTGAGGAAGCAGGTATGTTGTAATATGCAAGTGAACCTCAAACTAAGTCATTAAGGTTGTATTTTAGCAAGCATAACGCTATGTCTAAGGGACAAGTTGTTATAAGTTCCAATTCAATATTTTGTAAGACGTTTGTTCTAGCTTAATCAAAGTGGAGTGCAGTACAACACTTAAAGACAAAACGTCCTCAAAGAAAAAAAACTATATATTTATATATCATTCTACTTATACGTTTTATAGAATCATAATTTCTTATTTAGAATACAATGTATGTAATACAAAATATTACTATTTTGCTTGCAATTTACTTTTTTCAGTTTTGAAGTCAATCCTATCAATTAAAAGTAAGAAAAAAATAAGTTTCAAACAAAACATGACTCTAATGCTATAATATTCTTTTGAACATTTAAAATTAAATGTAAGAATTGTTGTCACTTTTTGCAAACATTATTCAACACTTTTGAAGGAAAAGAAGTTGTTTAAAGGACATTTTTTCAATGGTTTTGCCTTTCTAAATTATTGTAAACGTTTGCAATTGCAGACTTTGTCAGTGTTCAAATAAGATGAATATAAGAAGGTAAAACTTTGCTCAAGTCATGAGGATTTTAAGTTGCAATAATACCTGCTTCTTGTGAGGATTTTTAGTTGCCTTATCTGCTTGGCTGGTGTAGTTTATAGTCTTATTCGAGTTGTAATCTGCATGGTTGTTTAAAGCTTTTTAAGTTCAGCTTCCTTTGTTAGTCTACCATAAGAGACACTGCTGTACATAATTTATATTTGGAAATCCATAATATTCAAGAGACTATGTTTTATGTTGTATATAAATACATTCCTTACTCAAAATAAGAATCAGAAAGATATATAATGGAAACTCATATTTGACTGTATTTAAGCAAAAATTGTAAAAAAACACACACATAAATTTCTTTTGAAAATTTAATAATTATATATATTTATATATGATTAAAAACATAATATTTTTTAATTTAATAGTTTTATTTCAATTTGGCATTCATTGTTTGTGCCAGTGAATTATCAATAAAGTCTAAATGTTGAACAGTCGTCAATATGGTCTGTTATATACAGAGCATTGTCTTTTCCAATGCATTACTTGCATTATTAGTTTTTGTTGTTTTTTGTTTTGTTTTTTGTTGTTGTTTTCTTTGCTCCTTTGTTTGTTGTTTTTATTTTAAACATTACTTAAGTTGTGTTATCATGTTCTCCTGCTTTATAAAACTGTTAACGTTGTGGGGGACTTATTACAAGAGTATGTATTTCGGGTGCAAAAGCCATGAAGAGATTACTTTGGAAGTTATATTTACGAATATTATGCTGGTTTCAAAGCAGTAACAAATTCAACATTGAACCTTGAGAAAGACAAGGGTTATACTCGTACCAACAGGTAGTACGACTAAACAATGGGTTAGAACATAGAACAATTATATTGCCACTTTCTTACATAGCAGAACAGCAAAGACTAATTTATCATCAAAATCCACATACGTGTTTAGAAGGAAGACCTCCAACGACAATACTCTCTAAGTAACACTTCTGCTCATTCGAACATTATAATAGTATGTTCTAGACATTTTCATCTTCCGATTAGTCTTTCTAACTGTCAGGAAAATAATTCAGCAACAATTCGGTACCTATTCAAAATCGAGCTTGATTCAATGATCTTTTCTATCCAACATGAAAAGCTGCATTTTTAGCTAGATATTTTGTTCACATATGTTTTAATTGTTATTCCACTGAGTACAACAGAATTTTTTTTAATCTTTTCATTTGATATGCCATGATTATAGGTGTACATGGCTACTAATCGCCACTACTTCTCAAATGTGAATAAGTTAGTTATTTGGAAATCAGAAAGGCTTTCATTTTCTTTTATGATTCTGAATTGTCTCTGACAGTAAAAATATAGGTGTATGCATGGAATTTCATAATATTGATTGAGCAAGAATAACTTAAAGAATCCTTAACAATTTATCAGTCATTCGCCTAACTTTACATATATTATATCTATTATATTTTCCAGAGTATCCCTACATAGTTACCATTTTGAAAGGTAAATACGATAATCATAATCTTGAGGATTATCGTCATTATAAGTCAGTTATACAGATATTTGCACCGTTCTTGGCATCCCAAGTGCAGCCAGAATCTGTATTGTGTCAACTAAAACATGCTGGCCTTATAGACACGATGGATGAACAAGAACTCTATGTAAGATGAATGAATTATCAATAACATAACTTCAATTCAAAAACAATGAAATACAAAATGCACCGACAAAAATGTATAACTGATACATTTCGTAATAAATAGAGAATAGCAAATTTCAAATTAAACTGAAATCTATTTCCATGGCATTTAAGACATTCATCTAGTTTCTCTATATCATACATTAAATTAGCATTCGATAAAATACTTTCACTTAAACCTTAATAATTAAAATATACAAAGAATTCTTAACCGTAACTTCGTAAAAGTTTCATTTTTGCGAATAATATCTAACATAGGTCATTGAAATTTATTATTTAGAACAGTAGGCACATCGTTAACTTGTAAAGTAAAAATTAAGATCTTCCGTATTCACATATGTCTTACGTTTGTAGTAAAATATTCTTTTTAAAAACAATTGGTCTGTTTGAATTACAGGCATGCGCAAAAGTCGATGGAACAACAGCGGCAACAATGTTACTGCTTGATCGCATTCAATGTCGACTAGCACCTTCAAAATGGTTTGTCGAATTTTTAAGAATTTTATACATCAATGGATACAAGGACATTGTTAAGGAAATGGAGCCGGAATTTACGATTGAGTGTGAAGTTTTAAAACAAGTCAATGATATACCAGGTACTTGATTCTGCAATATGACAACATATCTGTATTATTTATATAAGTTTCATTATTAAACCTGTATCCATTATGGATATTTTTTATAAAAATCCCCCTCGAGACAATCTAGCCTACTAATTCAGAAAAGGCATTGCCATATATTGTTGAAAAGTCATAATATTGAATACCCTACAATATAATTCTATAAAAAGACATCACTTGTGAACAGAAATAACAATTAAGCAAGGTTGCAGAAATAATTCTGATCAACATTCGATTATAAACAAAGCTATAAGAAAATCATAGATATGATCATGGTTGTTGATATTGCAGGCGAATCAGCACGTTTGTTTACTAAAGTTACCTTCAAAAATATTTCACACCCTTTTAAACAAATCAGATATAAGCCATGATATAAGCCATCACATTCTAGGATATAGAATTGAAGAACAAGAGTTTGAAGTTAATTTTAAGGAGCAAATGCTTAATAAATATTTGATTCGTAAACTATTTAATTTATTAATCAGAACCAAAGGCACCATAGTAAAATATATTTCTCAATAGCAATGAATTTTTATGAGCAATATGTCTGTTAGAATTATAGTTAATAACTTTTTTCAGGAAACCATGATATGGAACAGGATATCTCAGAAACGACTTTGACTGAATATATAATTGCAACACGGTTAGATGGTTTCAGGCAAGAAATAATTGAGCTTGTTTCTCTACAGAAAATAGCTGCCAATCTATCACTGCACCTACTGCCAATTCGTAAGTATTCTTTTTATATTTCAAAAAATCATCACTTGTTTGTTGAAAAACTCTGAATGGTTGTTTGTAATCGATTTTAGATTTTTTATTTTTCACTTTATTCTAACATTTCAGCCGTGATAATCCGGTTGTCAAGACTTAGCAAAGACAGCAATAAAGAAGCCATGGAAAGTCTTTTGGAGGAGGTCGGCAAAATGGACAACCCGAACAAATGGAGTTTGTTTGTAACATGCTTGAAGGAATCTGGTAGGAATCTAGTGTGTCTCCTTAATAACTGACATGCACTCTTATAATAAAAAGACTTTTAATCCATATTTAGAGTAACCGAGTTCTGTGAAAAGAGATATTTTCTGTTTGGTATTCGTTCTATCCACTCTTCTGATTTAACTGGAGTTAAGGATTTTATTTGAATTCAGTTGCGGGACCACTTCATATATAATCAAGGGAACTCGAACATGCAAAACAAGTGCATATAAAACACAAACTAAAACATCTATTTCATTGGCTCCTAAAGATTATAGTCAAATGTTCGTTATTATTATTTCTTATACATGTTTATTGATAGTATGTTTTGTATGTATGTGTCTTTATATAGATTATTCATATATTGCCGGGATACTAACAAGGACTAGCGATAGAGGTACACATTACAGAGAAAGAAATTTGATCAAACTATTTACTCCGACACTTCAGCATCAGTTAGAACCCGGAGAGTTGATTAGTCATTTGCTCGCTGACAATATCATAAACGAAAAAGACAAAGATGAGATATTGTTGAAATACAGATGTTCTGGTAGCATTGCAGCATCGATAGCTTTGCTAGACTGTATGCAATGCAGACTTTCTCCAGATGAGTGGTATTCGGGGTTTCTAAATGCTCTATTAAATTGTGGAAGAAATGATCTTGTAAACATGGTGGACCCAGATTTCCTGCATAAGTCGGAGTACAGAGGTAGGTTAAGCAAAATCAATTTGTAACTAGATGAAAGACAGGAAATTTAAAGAAAACAATATTTTTCAGATTTTTATTTCATTTCAAATGTAAGGATCTATTGTATACTGTTTGTCAATTTGTCAGTTTGATTGTTATCCATGCTTGTATCAAGCACAATTCCTATGTCATCGTTTGTTTAATTCCTTTTATGTTTATTTCAAGGCGAAATTTTGGATGAAGTAAATCTATGTGAACCGATTTCGATGCAGTCATCTAACTTTCGTCTTGAATCTGCTTACGGTAGAGTTCTTAACATGGAACATTCTGCGAGACAACAAGTAGCAAAATTAAGACAGAAGTACGATGAAATGGAAAATGAGGCATTGATGGAGATACAGGGTGTATCAGCAGAATTGATAAACACTCTGCTTGAAACAAATGACCAACTGAAAAGGTATATACATTTTATCATTATGCCCCCATTTCGAAGAAAAGGGGGTATATTGCTTTGCACTTGTCGGTCCGTCGGTCCGTCGGTCCGTCGGTCCGTAGACCAAATGGTTTCCGAGTGATAACTAAAGAACCCTTAGGCCTAGGAACTTCAAACTTGGTATGGTGATTGGTCATGACAAGTAGATGACCCCTATTGATTTTGGGATCAAGGGGTCAAAGGTCAAGGTCACATTGACCTTGTAAGCAAAAACGGTTTCCGATCAATAACTAAAGAACCTTAAGGCCTAGGAACTTCAAACTTGGTATGGTGATTGGTCATGACCAGTAGATGACCCCTATTGATTTTGGGGTCAAGGGATCAAAGGTCAAGGTCACATTGACCTTGTAAGCAAAAACGGTTTCCGATCAATAACTAAAGAACCTTAAGGCCTAGGAACTTCAAACTTGGTATGGTGATTGGTCATGATTAGTAGATGACCCCTATTGATTTTGGGGTCAAGGGGTCAAAGGTCAAGGTCACATTGACCTTGTAAGCAAAAACGGTTTCCGATCAATTAACTAAAAACGCTTAGGCCTAGGAACTTCAAACTTGGTATGGTGATTGGTCATGACAAGTAGATGACCCCTATTGATTTTGGGGTCAAGGGGTCAAAGGTCAAGGTCACATTGACCTTGTAAGCAAAAACAGTTTCCGATCAATAACTAAAGAACCTTAAGGCCTAGGAACTTCAAACTTGGTATGGTGATTGGTCATGATCAGTAGATGACCCCTATTGATTTTGGGGTCAAGGGGTCAAAGGTCAAGGTCACATTGACCTTGTAAGCAAAAACGGTTTCCGATCAATAACTAAAGAACCTTAAGGCCTAGGAACTTCAAACTTGGTATGGTGATTGGTCATGATCAGTAGATGACCCCTATTGATTTTGGGGTCAAGGGGTCAAAGGTCAAGGTCACATTGACCTTGTAAGCAAAAACGGTTTCCGATCAATAACTAAAGAACCTTAAGGCCTAGGAACTTCAATCTTGGTATGGTGATTGGTCATAATTAGTAGATGACCTTATTGATTTTGGGGTCAAGGGGTCAAAGGTCAAGGTCACATTGACCTTGTAGGTAAAAACGGTTTCCGATCAATTAACTAAAAACGCTTAGGCCTAGGAACTTCAAACTTTGTATGATGATTGTTCGTGACCAGCAGATGACCCCTATTGAGTTTTGGGTCAAGGGGTCAAAGGTCAAGGTCACATTGACCTTGTAAGTAAAAACGGTTTCTGATCAATAACTTAAGAACGCTTAGGCCTAGGAACTTCAAACTTGGCATGGTGATTTGTCATGACCAGCAGATTACCCCTATTGATTTTGGGATCAAGGGGTCAAAGGTCAAGGTCACATTGACATTGTAAGTAAAAACGGTTTCTGATCAATAATTAAAGAACGCTTCGGCCTAGGAACTTCAAACTTGGTATGGTGATTGGTCATGAGCAGCAGATGACCCCTATTGATTTTAGGGTCAAAGGTCAAGGTCACATTGACCATGTATGTTAAAACGGTTTCCGATCAATAACTAAAGAACCCTTAGGCCTAGGAACTTCAAACTTGGTATAGTGATTGGTCATGACCAGCAGATGACCTATTGATTTTGGGGTCAAGTGGTCAAAGGTCAAGGTCACATTGACCTTGTAGGTAAAAACGGTTTCTGATCAATTAACTAAAAACACTTAGGCCTAGGAACTTCAAACTTTGTATGATGATTGGTCGTGACCAGCAGATGACCCCTATTGAGTTTTGGGTCAAGGGGTCAAAGGTTAAGGTCATGACCAGTAGATACTTGATAACCCTTATTAATTGTTTGATCACTGGGTCAGAAGTCATGCATAATAACCTTATCACATGACTAATTGGCTGCTGATATGGGGCATACATGTTTTACAAACATATCTTGTTTTACTAAAGTCTATGTCGGTGATAAGATGCGTAGAATAAATTGTTTTCATATATTTTCATTTGTGTAATGGTTTATTTTCCCATGTTACACATAAGTTGTGTTAAATGTTTGTTTTTTAGCATATGCCTTTACATTCGTTCCAGTATGGTACATTAAACTTTGTGATTATTGGCTTAATTGAAAAAAATGATCATGACAACATGTCGCAAATTTTAAACACTTCATTTCCGAGAGTCATTAAACGGACATATTTTCCTCAACTCATATAATTTCATGTTTGTTTACAAGGGAAGATTGGTTCGTAAATAATTATGACATTTTATTTCAGTATGGCGTCCAATAATTACGCAGGTCAGATGAAAATTGAACGTCTTTTAGATAAAACACTTGATGATATCCATAGAAAAGAGTTTAAATTTGTGCCTGAAAAGGGGTTTTTATCTTTCCCAAAATTGGGATCAATTCATCAAACGACAAGGAGGCGTCGGCGTGGCCCAAAGATTTCCAGGGATCGCTCTCAGTCACCGTGTATGGTATATAAAGACAGAAGACATGGTAATTACAGACACCGGTCTTTATCTTCTGGTTCTACCCAATCGTCTGGGTTCATAAAAATTGACGGAGAAAGAGATCAACGCATATTTTCATCACATAGCAACAGCCAAAATGCCATATCTAATGAAACAGTTCTCAAAGAATATTATTTCACACGGCAGGTTTCAGTATCAAGCACAAGTACATTCACTAATGATTCGCGCTCCCTTCCGAGTTCAGATGATATATTAAATAGCGGTGATTATGAAGCGATAAAAAGCACAGAATCACACGACGCAAATGATATTGGAAGGTTAGAAAGCTTTGTTAATTTTATATGTTATAGAACGGTCAGTGTTTCATATGCACAGAACGGCTACCAGTTGTCGAGTTTATGTATGCTGACAACTAATGAGCTTGTAATGGTTGACCAAAACCACGCTAGCGTCATTTTGTTTGATCCAATCCATGCACTTTTGAAAACATGTAAGATGAAAAGATGTTTTCCAGTAAAAGTGAACTGTTGTGAAAACAACAACGTGTTCATTCTTTCCAGAAGAGGCATCTCTAAATATACCATAGTCATGTACAAAGTACATTATATAAGGACTAAAACTGGAAAACTTTTTTTGCATAATCTGCTTCCTGTTAAAAAAATACATAATATATGCAATGGTCAGATATGCTCTTTCACTTGCTCCAAAGATAAAGTGTTAACTGTTTGCTCGTTTGGTCATATTCATATGTTCACGCATGACGGTAAAGAGGAAAGGGTAGTAAAAAGTAAAACAACAGAGACTAAAGCAAACTTTACTTGGCCACAATTTTGTACCATTGATAAGGACTCTTACGCGGTTTTCATTTACGACGTGTACTCAGCAAGCATAGGGAAATACATATTAAGCAGTGGAAAGTGTATATGGACTGTTGATATAAAAAATGGTGAAATAAACGATTTAATTGCTTGCTTTGGTCGGCTGTTTATATCACAGAACAAGAGCAATACAATCATGATTTTAAGGCAAGATTCAGGAAAGTTAGATCCATTTTTCATGCCAGATGAAAATATTTGTTATCCATTAGCTTTTACGTGCAATCATAGCCAAAGCACTCTACTCGTATCTACATACAACTACAGAAGAAAAAGGGGCAATCACATAATAAGGTTCTATTAATAAGAAGTAACTTACAAACAGATGCAACGACACTATCAAGTCAATATTGTTTATAGTTTTATATCCACTTTGGAATGCAATATTGCAAATACTATTTGATTTCCTTAGTTTAATTGAATCGCATTCGTTATTAAATGTCACCAAAATACATTTGATGCCACAACTTGTTCAAATGTAAGTGTTTTATTTCGTCTTGAAAGTAAAACAAACAAAGTTTAAGACAGATACTGCTTATGTTTTATTATAGTTGTCGATAATATTTTTGTAGATTTTAGTCAAAACATCATGCTTTTTCCAGTTCTTAATTTCCTTTAGCTAGTTATGTACATGTTTATCAAATCCTGAGCACTTAATGCTACAACCACAAAACAAGTTTTAAAGTTTTCTATCCAGATGAGAAGAAAAGAAAATAATTTTAAAAAATGAACAAAATATGTTATTTCAGCTATTACTCAATAGTGTAAATATTCCAGAAATGATCAAGCAACGATGAAACTTGGTTTTCCGCGGTCGAGTATCTATTTAACAGAAATTTCTTCTTGTTTTTATTTACGTTTGTTTGTTTCTCTCATGATCGGTGTCTCATTTAATGGGTTATTTTTTTCATTAGACTTTGATGATAGTGCAATAGTTTAATGACAGTGATGCTGAAGCAAGAACGAATAACTAAAAGTGATGCTATCTTTTAACAATTATATACTATTTGATTTCTGTAATCCATTACCTCTATAGGTCACTCCCTTTTTATCTACTTTTGTATTCTCAAAATAACAGTTAAAAGATACAGAAGTTTTATATGTTTTAATTTCCGTAATTTGAATTTTTGGTTAGATAGAAGGCTATTTTTCGCTTCAGTGAGTCATTAAAGTGTGTTCATTATTATTGATAAAATATTCATTTATTGTTTTGATTTGATTCTGTGGATATAATATCAGAGTGAGATTGACTCTCTAACAAAATTGTGTGTAATATTATTGTTAAAAAGATCTTTATTTATTTTCATTTCAATCAGCGGATGGTATAAAATGACTGTTGTTTAATCTACTCATTATTATTGTTAAAACGCTCATTTTATTTTGATTTGAGTCAATGATTAGATTATGATGGTATAGAAAGAGATAAAGATGAGGAGATTCTAAAAATCAATCAATAAAGGGATGTAACGAATAGCTAACAATATCATTGATATCCGTAGCAGTAATTTCCCTTTAAATCTATATAACGTTACTTTACTACCGAGTAATAAATTCGAGTATTGTTGATTTATAAATATAGCTGCTGCTGCTGCTGCTGCTGCTGCTGCTGCTGCTGCTGATGATGATGATAATGATGATGATGGTGATGATGATGATGATGATGATGTGATGTTGTTGTTGTTGTTGTGTGTGTTGTTGTTGTTGTTGTTGTTGATGATTTTGATGATGATGATGATGATGATGATGATGATGATGATGATGATGATTATGATGATGATGATGATTATTATTATTATTATTATTATTATCATCATCTCCTTTCTGTACTGTAAACCTACGCTGAATATGAAATCGAAGAACGAAGTAAGATGTTATAATAAATAGTTAAGTCGAAACACAGAGCTATTTGATTTGTACGAGGGGGCGCAGTCCCGAGTTTAAATCAGATTGCCGAGTGTTTTGATGTTCTTTCTTTTTTGTATGATAGGCAAAATTAAAGTTGCCTAGAAAAAAGTAACCAATGAATGATCAGTTGAAGTGACTTTTCTATCGATAGTCGTAAAAATAAGTAAACCCCAGAAATAATGAGCCAAGCAATGGGAATCTGTGGAGTGCGGATAACTAATACCTGCACTCCAGTTAACGCACTGTACATATTGTATATGTATTCGATTTAAAACAGAAAGGTCCCTTAACTATGACACAACAACATTGTAGAGATAATTTTCAGAAGTAACGGTCATTTACAAATGTGTACAACTATTTTTTGATGGTGGTATGGGGGTATTTTTAACATCATTTTGTGGTTGACATGTAATTGACTTTGACGTTCGCAAGACCTTGCACTGGACACACTGCTACAATTGGCCATCTGTCCACCTGTCAATATTAATTAAGACACTTCAAAGGACACCGCCGTTGAGATTTGATTAATGAATAATTTGTTGACAAAACAATCAGCATTTACAGCGTCCATTTTTGAATTAATAAAGTCGGAGTGTCTTTTCAAGGAATATACTGTATTTAAGTTGTATCGGTTCCTTGAAATCTATATTCAGAAACTTCCATCGCTTGCTCTATTTTGTCACTGCTTTATAAAGTAACTTATGAGTATGTAAATATCACACTAAAATCAATGACACAACACGGTTTTGTTTTATCATATTTTGATATTTATTACATAAGATTTTAGTTGTATTTACTCCAGTTACATTATTATCAGAAATGTGATAAACAAGCGTTTTTGCTAGTTGAGTTGACGGACTGTGCAATTTTTCAGGGGTGTTAGTTAAATACCTTGAAAACAACACCGTTGAAGATTCCCCCATTTAAGATCTCGAATTGCTTAAAAACTTTGTTGATCTTAATAGAAATATTTTGTACAATGTCGGATGTAGCCATAGATAGACATGTTATTTTTCAATTGTAACAGAAGGTTAAGATGGATTTATGATTTTAAAGATAAATATTATAATTTTGCCCAGATAAGTTGTTATCTTTTATTAATTTACCTGATGCTTCTTTAGCTGTTTAGTTTTCAAAATACCATCTACTGTACCTTTGGCTTTATCGCTTTTTGTAAGCACCATTGTTGTATTATTATGTACTTCCAATGGTATACAAGCTGTTAAACTGAGCCTGCAATTTCGTGAAAATAATATCACAATGCACATGCTTTTTACATGAAGTTATTAAATACAAATATAATAACATATTTGTTTACTTGATTTTTATGAATCAAAATAAAAGTAATTAACACAACATGACATCAACTGGTAATAATAACAGCTCCTTCCATAGGCCAAAATAAAAAGCAAGCATTCCATAAGAGACGACGCCGCTCAACGGCGTCGCCAATAAGAGTAAGTGGTGAACATGCATTTATATTAATCAATAGATGTGTTAGTTGAACGCTTGTTGCGTCATCAGATTTAGCAACAGGTCGTATTTAAATATATCTACCTGGTTTCGAGAAGTTCGATATGATGTTGTCACGGCGTTTAATTTTACTTGTGATCTGATTTGGATTTTATCAAATTAACTTGTTGCCTTAATGGTATACTTATTTAATTAGTGTAATATTGTGTTTCATCTTTTAATACCTTATGTTGGAGTATCATTGTACTTTTATCCTGTAAAATTGTGTTTAACGTTTTATATAAAATGTTTGTACAATTATGACATGTAAATAAAGATTACTTTTGAATATTATGTCACTTTTAGTGTGATAATACCTTAGGTGATTTCTTATTTAAAAGTTTATATTTTAAGAACGAATACTGTGGTCAGTGAATTCATACCATTGTTTTTATTGTTCTGAGTACTGAAATAATTTATTTATTTATTTATTTATTTATTTATTTATTTATTTATTTATTTATTTATTTATTTATTTATTTGCTCTTTATAATATTTGCTGTTAATGTAAGGACTGCAGTGTGTTATAATTTATTATGCATTATTTATCATGCCACATCATTTATGTCACATTATGTTTATTGTTTTGTTGTTGTTTTTGTTGTTTTTTTATTGTTGTTCTTTGTTGTTGTTGTTTTTTACTGAAATAAATAAGAAGAAAAATTATTGAAATGTGTTATTAGCTTTATTGCCATGGATAAGTCTGTCCTCGTCTGATTGTGTATATGCCTTTGAGTTTGACTTGCTATTGTATTATTAACTTGATCAGCCGATCGCACAAAATGGTTCAGCATGGACTATACACAATATACTGGTTTTATTTGCTTGTAACTTTTCGCTTTGTTATTTTTAAGAGTCTTTTACGACAGTGTGATAATAACAGATAAACATCATAAAGATTGATAATTATGAACACAATGTTTTATAACCATCAAACTTTTTTTTCATGTTACAAAATGCCTGTAGAGATATAATTTCATGACCAGTAGCGAACCAACACTTCTTTGTTTTAAAACGATTAAAACAATTATGTATTGTATAGCATGTTAGATTTATATTACAACGTCAATTTTCTGTCTGTATGTCTGTCTGTCTGTCTGTCTGTTAACTTAATCTATTTGTTCTTAGTGTTTCTTTTCTTCTATTTTACGCCGATTATTACAAATGTTTAGCAATATATTGACGGCCGATTATAACTGATTTTCCTGCATAACTTATGATGAATTACCTATTTCTCCGCAAGTGACCGACTACTAGTCCCACGTGAATTCTGAGCCCCTTTTCTATCGTTATTTTTGTATACATGCTCACTTCAAACTAAGTGATTGATAATAATTCATATTTACTGAAATTAAAAAAAAAAAACAGAGATTAATCGAAAATCTTAATTAAAGTTCATATTTTTATTGTTTGGAGATCAACGTGTAACCTTCGGGTCAAAACAGTGATTTATTCAAACGGTAGATTTTGGCACTATTGTGACCTTCAGCGTGCTCTTTTTATTTTCGAAATATTTTGTAGCATTCAATAAATGAGAGATTTTCCAACTCAAATAACACGCTTCGTGTTGTCAAGTGTCCGATCAGCGCGCGTCACGCGCATGCCAAAAGACGAAACACAAGCGCGCGCTGCAGCAGACTGCCATAAATCAACTGAACAAAATACATTAGATTAACCGTGAGAATTTTTCATTTAATCTTTCAAATGAAATATGTTTTCACATCGGTGCCAGTAGCTTTGAAGATTATATTTTTAAGCCTATGTACCTATTTATTTTTCATTTTTCATATATTTGAGGAAAAAAACATCATGTGGGGACAAGAAAATTAAAAAAAAACTGAGATTTTTTATCTAGTGTCTATATTAGTTAATCTTATTTATGCATCAACCGAAATAAGAAAAGCATTAAATCTGACAGCTTTTATGTGACCAATTTCCGATAGTGAGTAGGGTCGAAAATCCTTTTAATTTGGATTATTTAAACAAGTAACATCCCAAAATTTAGTGTAATGGGCTTGTTCTGCTTT